ATGCAAACATAAATGACGAGAGCTTATTTTCCTCCTAATAGTTAATGATGTCCCATTCTCTTGATCAAACGCTTTTAAATGCTTTCGTAAATTAGAAATTTCATTGAATACCTTCATAAATAAAACATACAGCATGCGTAAACAGTAATTTTGAAACCGGTATTCGTTTTACTTTTATTCAAAGTGCCTACTTATGATATTTCATTTAACTACTTTTATAAATAATAAAGTTGCCATTGTGCATGTGCAAAACCAAATTTTAAGACTGGTGTTAGATTTGCTTGTATTCCAAGTGCCTATGTATTAAATTTTATTTAAATGCTTCAGTAAATAAGGAAGTTGGCATTGCGCATGCACAAAACCAAATTTTGCATTTATGCCAAATGCCTATGTATTAAATTTCATTTAAATGCCTTCGTAAATAAGAAAGTTGGCATTGCGCATGCGTTAATCCAAATTGTTGACTCTGCGCATGCACAAAACCAAAACATATCTATATGCACGCAATCTTTGGACCAAGCCATTTCAAATGAGCCCTATATCGCCCAAATCGGTTCAGTGGTGTAGAAGGAGTACGTGTGACGGACGGACGGACGACAAAGTGCAGCCAATAGCGATTTTTCACTTTGAGGAAAATACGCTAACAAAGTTAGGATAGTTGCGTGTATGGGTTTACATTAAATTTCAAATTGATTGGTATATGTTATCGGCCAAGGACACACATTAGATTTGCGCCATCCAAACATATTAGTTATTATTATGAAAATATGCACCAATCAACCAAGACTGAATATTTAGTCAGCCCACCACTTTTTAAAAATTTTTTATGGCTTAACCGTAATGGCGCTCGCTTTAATTCAAGTGGCGCAAAATTTGTCACGGCTTAACCGTAATTTTATTCAATTTACGATAATGGCGCAAGAGTTATTATCGGTGGCGCATATGAGCGCATAACAAGCGCATTCATTTTAAAATAATACGACTATCAAATCTAACAGTGGGGGGGGGGGGTCAAGTTAACTGATCCATAAAAATTGTTTATTTCTTTGGAGTCAAGAGACGACCAAATGTTTTTGCGTGTGCATTTCAATGGTTTTTTTATTCATTGTCCACACCAGAAAGTCCGGTTTTTGTATCGGGTTCTGGTTTTAGCGAGGGTCTAGTATTGCCAAAGAGTAACCCTTTGGTATTACCAAAGAGATGGGTACTCTTTGGTATTACATTTCTTACGTTGCATCCAGATGGCAAGTACGCGTGGAAACTTTTAATTGAAGTGGGTTTTGGAAAACAGTTGTGATTTGTGGCCCAAGGAGCACTAGCCAATAGAAAATTTATACATAAGCATTTTTAAGTTAATTAGCCATTGTAGGTGCGAAAAATTCTCAGTACCTAATTAAAAGAGGGGATGATTTAGAGTTGAAAAACATGAGAGAGCGCAAGCCATTGTTATTAAAGCGGGCACAAACATTTTCGGTTTCTAGTTTAGTTTGACAGTTGGACGCTAGGATTATACAGGGAATTTTTCTTAAATGTATACATATGGGCTATACAGAGTGGTGCCTAGCGCGACGCAAAAGTCTAAATACCTTTTTTAGAAAAAAAAAAGACTGCATCTGTTCATATTATTATAATTATAGGTTTCCGTTTTTCAAAACCGTAGAAATCGACAAAATAAAAAGGTTCATTTTTCAATAAATCAGATATGCCTTAGAATTACCTAAAAAACAGCGATCACGTTTCATTACTTGCGTTTGACGTATATTAAATTTATACTTGTTTATAAATTAGTTCATCATAATAGTATATTAAGATACAAGCGTATAATCAAGTCTTTAAAGCACGCGCAACGAGTTTAAGGGCACGACGCAAAGCGGAGTGCCTTTAACGTTGCAAGTGCTTTAAAGACCAATTATACACGTGTATCTTATAGTATTTTTTATTATACCTGGAGTATAATTTAAAAATAGGAAATTCAATGAAGTCATATTGACGTTATACTCGAATACATGTCTAATTAAGTGGGCTGGGTGTTCGTAATTTCACGATTGCCATGGAAATGTCACTTGACGTTTGCTTATAAAAATCGTCGTCTTTGTGAATAAAACGATTTTCGTTGAAAAAGATAATACACCGTCCATTAAATCGCTTATTGTAAAATCTAAACAAACGTTGGTAGGTGTAAAATCTCAATCCAGTAAAGCCTATTATCAAGCATATGAAAAGTTGTTTCCAAGGATGAATAGGAAGTTACTTACGAATAAAGTCTTAAATGCATCGATAATGCTGGCATATATGAAGGAAATGTCAAAGGTATTTAAATCTTCTATCTTTTGGTGCATTCATTCAAAACTTCACTTATTGCTGGGACTAAAAAGTGGAACAGATTTGGAAGCATTACGCGCGTTTGTAAAAGCTTCAACCAAAAGATAGGTACAAGCCAAAGAAATATTCTGCATTTACAGAAAGCGACTTAGGAAGATTTTTTATTTCACCCAGATGACAGTTTCAAAAGTCATGCTTGAAGTATCGTTACTTAGCAACTTTAAAGCACGTGTGTTTTAAAGGCCTTTTTTCGCACGCATTTGAGTGTTTACAACGGAGATTGTGATTCAGGTATAATAAAAATTGTTTATCATGTACATATTTATCTGAAAAGAAAGTGGAAATGTTAAAGCTGTTTTATGACCGCCAAGTAACGTCTTTATTTAGTGTGAAGTACCCCAATCGGCCGATTCCAAGCAGTACTATAGTAGATAATTGTGCGCAAGGACAAAAACAGCCACAATGTTAAATAACTGCAAGTGCAATAACGTTCAATATGTCCGTCAAAACCATCAAGAAAACGACAATACTCAACGTGTTGACTGCAGTAACGGAAAATCCGAATATAAGAAGTTTAAGAACAATTCTTCCTCAAATCCATTTCTTTTTGTTTGATTATGACCCTAACATCTGTAACATCTGCAACGTCTGTAACATCTGTAACATCTGTAAAAATCTGTAACATCTGTAATCACTGTAACATCTGTAATCATTGTAACATCTGTAACATCCGTAACATCGGTAACATCTAAAACATCCGTAACATTCGTAACATCCGTAACGTACGTAACTTCCTTAACCTCCGTAACATTCGCAACATCCACAACATCCGTAACATCCACAACATCTGTAAGATCTGTAGCATCTGTAGCATCTGTAAATTCTAAAAACATGTATAAACTAATATTCCTGTGGTGACGTCATATAATATTGTGATCGATGGTCGAGGTCGGCGGGTCGATCTCGGAAGCCTCGGGTATAATATCCCCTCCCCCCCCTATAAACGGAAAGTAACATAACTCTTAGCTTGCAATTAAGGAAGCGGTAGAAAAAAATAATCGCTAAAAGCCAATTGCAATGAATACGGTGCGGCAACTTAATGCAAAAGCAAAAATGAAACGGTACGGATGCAAAGAAAATGCAAAAGGCAAATAGATTTAAATACGAACAAAACACCAAAAGCAAAAGCTGATTATTCAAATACGGTACGTTGGGAAAAGTAAATTTACGGCAAAACTCAACATGTCGGTTCTTACAAAACGTAGAAGTAAGAGAGTAGTGAAGAGGCAAAAGTAAAGATCGATGATTTAAATACAGTATGGTTCACAATTTCCGTATTAACGGAACAAAACAAAAGATGCAAATTAATAGTGCGTTTTCTGTTTATCTAAACATCCATTTCGGGTAGGGACAACTGGAATCACATCTTGTACGCTTATACCTTCGATACGTTCAAAATTGAAACTGTTTTAAATTAAACACGTTTTTCCCCGACATCGGAAAAATATGGGCAAAGTGTCAGATTTCAAGATTTTTAAGAGCGCGAACAGGTGTAATCTGGATTTAATCAGCGGTTGTCATCTGTAAACCATTCAAGTAATAATTACGGTTAATTATATAGTTACTTATCTAAATAGTGAAATCCCCAAATTCGGCAGTCCAGCAATGCCCTTTTGTTCCTTTATGTTTGGAGTCAAGAACGCTGGAATGTTTTCGTTACCAGTGTTACTTGCAGGATATTGTAAAGCAGTCCTGTTCAAGTTGGCTGCCCACTTCAGCTTCAGCAGCTACCAGGCAGAACATTAATTGAGAACTTACCATCAGGTATAGCAGTGGCTAAATGAAAAGAAGTTTGGCGAACAGCTAAGACCAATTACCACAGTACCTCCTGGCTCCTACAACTCCCCAGCAATCACTTTCTGACACTTGTACACAATTTTATGTAGCAAACATAAAGAATGCACGATAAATTGCCATTAATATTAATGTAATACAAAAAAGGGTCGCAAATTTCAAAATGTATAATTGGCGTACAGATCACTCATAGATGGCTTTTTTTTACAAATTTGGTATAGCTTATAAATTTTAATAGAAGAATTTGTTTTGTAAATTTGATGATGGTACAACAATTTACACTCATAATTTAAGTGTGTCATGCCATTCAAAATCAAGTTGTCGTTTATTATTTTTTCAACATTGATAGAACTTTTGGATTGAGTCCTACAAACGCGTTCATTAACTGACATGGTATCCTTTTCATATTTTCTAACTCCTACCATCTACCTCTAATAGCAATATAATATGTATTTGTGTGCGATTTAATTTTTAATTTAAAACTGGTTTACTTACTTTTACAAAAAAAAACATTATTACTTCATTGAGTATTTCTCAATTATGCAATACTCGAATCGATCCTCATTTCAATCGATGGCCTTGTTTTAAGCGTATCAAAGCGATTATTCTAATTTTTATTGTTATACGCGATGTAAATAATACTTAACCTAATAATGAAATACTTCGCAAAGTAACTTAATTATATAAATCAATAGATTCGCGTAATTGATGCGGTGTTTTTTTGTGTCATATTTTGGTACGGTCTTGCAATTATAATAAAAAAAATTTGTCTTGATCACCTTGGAACCACCACTTATGACATGCGGATCGACGCCTAAAATGTATCATCTTAAAAACAGTGCATCATTGAAGATGCAGTATAAAAGGGGACACGCTCAAATTAATGTTACCAGTCAATCATCCGCTTACAAACAGTGAACAATATGAAGGTGGTAAGACTGCTATTATAATCGTTTAGTTGTAATCAGCGCAATCAAATCTTTGAATAATTTCCAGATACTTTTCTGCTGTTTAATTGCCGTTGCTGCAACGGCCCGACTCGAAAATACTTACTTACCACCTGGTAGTGCCGGAAGTGCAGGTGGCCATGGGAGTTTTCTGGCCGCTCCGTTTAGACAGTCACATTTTGGTAGTACCGCGTCAAGCGCCTTCAAACAGTTACCCATACCAATTGCGATTCCTCAAGCGAACAAATTCGCTGAAACCTTCCATCAAGAAAAAACCTACCCGTTACGTCCAAACATCAACATTTTACGCTTTGAAAACGTGAATGATGGATTCGGCAGCTACTCATACGGGTATGCTACTGTCGCTATTATACTTTCTACTTTACAATAATACATTTTGTAGGTATGACACTGAAAATCACATCCAGGCGCACGAAACGGGACAGTTAAAGAACATCGGAGGAGAAAACGAAGCGAACACCGTCCACGGTTCATTTTCTTACAAGGGAGATGATGGTGCAGACTACACCGTAGAATATACGGCCGATGAAAATGGATTTCAAGCGAGAGGTGCTCATTTACCTGTACCTCCCCCAATTCCTGAAGCGATACTTAAATCTCTCGAGCTGAACGCAGCGTCGGCTTCTGATAACGATGATGGTCAATACAGGGAAAAGGCGTACCAACAACAATATTTACCACCACAAAAACCCTCTTTCGATCGTCATACTGGATACCGTTATTAACCTCATTTGCATTAGATTCTATCAATAATTATGTGTATATACGACTGAAAATGTACGCAATAAAAATGCGTTTTTCGTAGAGATTGTTCTTCTAGAAACGTTCATTTCCCCTGCAGCAAAAGCTAGGTACAATGTATCAAAGGAAACGTGATTATTCCTCAATCTTCATTCATACATACAGGGTGTTTTTTTTTAAAGATGGAAGATAGAAAATATACATGTAGCATAACGCAATGTAAAGACGTTGGGTTATTTAAAATGTGCCATACGGAAATTTACGTTTGGCAAATTATTTTCAAATGTTGACCTTGCGCTTAGTTTTTTCACTGACAGTACTCGATCTCAATCCTTCAAAAATGAAACTGCATCAACGAAGGAGCAACACGTATTCCGCCGCTCGAAAAGGTGTTTATGTACTTAGTACAATTTGTACAAGAGTGGTATGCGAGCTATTCAGTGCCGAGTTTCGGGTATTGTTTGGTTGCCGGTGGAAAACAATTCGAGCACCGTTTGTAATTTCATACGATTATATCTGATTTGAACAAATTTGTTGATTTAGAAACATTTTCTTCAGTGCTGTGCTAGATGATTCTCGAGGAAGCTATGACTGAAACAATTGATGCAATGTAAATTTCCCCTTTACATTGTCGTATGGCCCATTTTTAAAAAAAACACCCTGTATATATCGTATCGTATGACCTGTGTTTTTACTAGTATTCGGTTGAAGTACACCTTAGTGAAAACGCATAGATATTATTATTACAAAAACGGTTGATATAGCTTGCTAAAATATATGAAAAGCTTTTAAATTAGGCATGCGAGCGCTCTGTTCTTGGTAACAAGCGCCTATATAGTATTTTCACTTTCGTTTACTAATTTAAAAATCCGATACAAATGAATACCGAACGATCCTCGAGGCCATTTTTGGGTTATAACTTTTTGGCGCGGTAGTCTAGTAGCTGAAAGGCAGTAGCGACCTTTCTTATAGCCTTTTCAAAGCGATTGGAAGCTCACATGCACACCGACAGATAGACAGGCGGACAGGCAGATAGCAATACAATATTTTAATCGATTACGAGGATCATTAATATGAAGTTGATTTCTGAGGTGAGAATGGACGATTTTGTGGGGTCACCGTCCCATCACTTTCTTCATTTAAATATGTTTGCCCTACTGCCGTATAATTGCCAAAAGGCTTGCTATGATACCCTATATTGCGGTTAATATTATTAGGTTAAACCCGCCCCTCCCAAAACAGCATTTGATGTTTATTACGATTTACGAGCGGATAATATTCTCTTACATTTATTTCATCTTTCTTCCGTGTCTAAAAAATTTCATTACTAATTGTTTACGAATTGCACAAATTATTTTTTAAAATTAAAAAGAGTCAAATGAACATATTGGGCCGCCAGCAGGAAAGAAGGTCGTTGTGGGGGTGATGCAGTCCTCGGCGTGACTTCTACGTCTTCCCCTCGGTCCACTGGTAGTGGTCATAGTTTGGTAATGGGACAATTATATTCGTTTCCTTGGGCTGGTCTGACGAAACCTTCCAGAAATCCCGTTTCATTTTTTGTAAGAGTTTCCATCTTGTAGTAGCTCGGACCTCCTCTGACAGATCGGTCTCATCTGGCGGCATCTGCAGTGGTCGTCCGTTAATAAGATGTATCTTTTACTCTTTTTTTAACTCTTGTTTCCTCTTCCCTTGCTTACTCGAATCTGGATAGGTCCTGCATAGTCCAAGCCCGCGATTGAGAACGGGTGTGCCATATTTACCTTGGCTGCTAGGAGATTCAACCGTTGCCCCGTGGTGTGGTTGAATCACCGACAACGTATGCAGCAGCCCCTGACTTCTCGACCGACCAGATTCTTTGCCCGCAATATCCAGTATTTGCGTCGCAGCAATGCCAGTTAGCTGATTTCCGCCATGAAGAGTTCTGACATGGGCACCCCTTACGATCAGTGTGGCCAAATCACTTCTTGGAGGAATTATTAAGGGGTGTTTTTCTTGTGTAGGCATGCAGGCTGCATTAATTAACCTACCCCTACTCTTAAAAGTCCCATCGCATCCAGGAAGGGATTAAGCGTCTTGAGGTTATTTTTGCGAGATGGTTCTTCTCCGGCTTGCAATAGGCTGATCTCCACCGAGTAATATAGTTGCGGGACGTTCATATTATCGCCATGTGAGCTGCTTGTAGCTCCCGTGTTCATAGAACCTCATTTGTGCATGCTGTCCTGTTACATTTCGCGACAAATGTTCGACAGTATGCTATCACCGTTATCATTTTGTCAACGAAGGAGAACCTGCCCGTTACGCAGTCTTGTTTTTGGATGCTTCTTCTTAGGTCTCTGATACACGTATGGTATTCACAGCTTGGTCGCCAGTACTGCTCCACAGAGCTCCAAACGCGGTAAAGTTTTCTTCAATTTGATTGGGGCCACCTTAGACTTTGCTGTAAACATGGAGGTTTTTATTTCCTCATCTGCACACCCCACCCGACTGTAGATCACGGCGCCGTAGGCCCTTTTTGATGCGTCACAGTAGGCATGGAGCCCGATGCTTACCTTTCCATCGTAGTGGATCCATCTTGGAATTTCGATCTGCCCTACTTGCGCGAGCTCTTCTTGGAAGGCGGTCCATTTCTCCCTCAACTGGACTGGAAGTTTTTCGTCCCATTCAATGGCTTCTCTCATGAGTTCCTGCATAAACAGCTTCGCCCGGAATACCATGGGAGCCATGACTTATTTACGTCGGAGAAATTCCAAGGCCAAAACCTTGTGACGTAACCAGAAAATTTCGAACCAACATTCAACAGCACGGCCCTGAACCAACATCCAAGGCTACAACATTGGGCCAAATTCTACGACTATGACCTTGTGACATTACGCGCCATTGGTGGACACCCAAGGTCATGAGCATGACTGTATCTAGCGTCAGAAAATCCAAGATGGCGGCAGCGCGTTTCCATAAATCTAAATTCAAAATTATGAAGTACCCTCATTGTTGTTGTTGTATAATTCTAGAGCGGATATGAATTCATAATAGCATTAGTGCTATTGTGAAAGCCGTAGTGACATCCAAGTGACCATGCAGCAATTATACAACGCGTGAATGCAAGGCAAGTTAGCGTATTATAGGGTGTGTTGGTCTCCGGCTAAGGTTACCTATATGAGAAAGATTGATTACATCCACAAATGTTATCGTACCTCTATTTTAAACAATTTGGCGTCTGTCCTTTCTTACGGTCTAAGCGTAAGTCTTACTTAAATATCCAAATGTCGATTTGGTGGCATCCAGTGCCTCTATTGCCAGCTATACGACGATTTCCACAAACAGAGGGGCTCTTTGGTAACTGATGCAATCAAACATTCTGATATAGGGTACAATAGCCCGCGAACTCTACAGAAAAGTAAGGGGAAATTTACTTATTTTACGGCTAGAGTGCCTATTGTTTGTGGGATGATGCGAACAAACGTAAGGAATAGCAAGGTAAACGCCTCCATTTTTTAGATTACAGGAATAATGAATTAAAACAGAATGAGTAATAGTAAGTATACTTTTTATTTAAAAACACAATGTGAACAACATTTTTCTGAATGAAAAATGATATGGGGAAGGGTCAGAAGGGTGTAATCATGCTCCCTATAAATAGTCTATAGTATTTTCGTGATTGGTAATAGAAATCAACCATAAGTCAACCTAAATCCTACATAATTCAACAGTCAGTCACTTGTAAACCTTTGTTAGTGCGTACTTCAACGTACAATATTAATAATGATAACCCTGTTTCTGTTGTTCAACGTCCACCTTTTTAGGGGATGCGTGTTGGGGAATATACGCTGTCGCCTTGTACTGGCCGTCATCATTGTCCGATGCAGAAGCCGCGTTGATTTCTAACGATTTGAGAATGACATCCGGTATGGGTGGCGGTGTTGGCAAATGGGCACCTCTGGCCTGAAATCCATTTTCATCGGCTGTATATTCCACTGTGTATTCGATACCGTCAATTCCCCTGTATGAGAAAGATCCATGGACTGCGTTAACTTCATTCTCACTTCCCAAATTTTTCAATTGGCCCGTTTCGTAGACGCTGATGTGATTGTCGGTGTCGTACCTACACGATTGACCCACAATATTAGCATTCAATCAAAATTATGCTGCGATCCTACCCATACGAATAGCTTCCAAATCCATCGTTGACGTTTTCAAACTTGAGAATATTCGCAGGTGGTTCGCGGCGAATGGGCTCCACAGCTTTATTAAGCGAGTTAGTCACGGTGCCACTGGTAAATGAAGCTTGCTTTATTGGGGCATGAAGGAATTCATTGTGACCACCTGCATCTTTTGCGTTGCCTGGTGGCAGATAGGTATTTTCTAAGCTGGCTGCGAAAGCCGCCGTCGCGAAGTACAGGAGTAATAACTGGAAAGAGCAAATATTATCGCGGAGACGCTGAAAATTTAAAACTTACCATCATCTTCTCACCTTCTTAATTGAGAAGGATTGAATGGTAACATCAACTTGAGACATTTCACTTTTATACCTCTACTCTGCCAGTGATGAGCTAAATTTCGGATATTTTAATAAATTAAATCATCATATTTGGGTATTGGCTTCAAGGTAATCAAGAAAAATGTATGATCATTCTAAGGTACCCTTATATTAATAGATCCTTTGACTTTATAATAGTGGTTGTTTGTTAAGTGTGCATTGTTTGCACATCGAACAGAATTAATTAAACTTTGAATACAATGCACGTCAAATTTGAGTACCAAATATTAAACACATCTTAAAGAGCGCTTAAATGTATGGAATACGAAAGCAAAAGTAATGAATGCAATTTTTTTTACTTTCTTATTCTATACCATACTACCTAATTAATTTACCTGTACAACGCAATAACACTGCAATGAGTACAGGGTGTGACAAGGATTTAATTCTCTGTAACTACTACAAATTTCGCCTACACAAAAAATGTCATGTATTCGATTATTCACATTGTTTGAGATGAACAAAGCCCACATTAGAAATGGTAATATATTACCTGCAAATACAATGCAATAAGATCCTATAACAGACCAAAATCGACAAAGTGATGAATTTTTAGTGTACATAGGTACCTGAGGTACACTTCTTTTATAATTTGTTAGTTGAACTTGAACTTGTATCGGATCTGTGCAAAATTTTGTATAAAAGAGCATGGTTCCAAACCCTCACGAGTTTGCGCAATGGTATTTAATGAATGACAAACTCAAATACATTTAATAAGGAATAAGGCATGCAACTTTTCAAAAAGGGCTCTCCAGGTTTCCAAGCCTGAAGCTGCATGCTTCTTTCAATAGTATAAGAACCCTATATAGATTCTTCCTTAAAAGGAATCAAACCTTCTTTTTCTTAGAGCCTTTAATTCAAAGTGCAAACAAAGAGTCAAGGAGACTAGAAGGTCGGCGCCCTCAATTCAAAGATGGCACTAATGCATAACATGTAACTATTCATATAGATTTTAACGTACAGAGCTCTGCAGTAAATGTTGAACCATGGTTGAACTATCCGCAAAACAGCGAATCAAAGATTTTGATTTTATAATCGCATTTAAAAAAAAGGGCCGATGTCAAATATTGTAGGTATTAACCAACAGAATGATTGTGCGTAATTCGTAAACCATGTTTTGAAGTTTGCCATAATTTTGGAAATAACTAGTACAATTGATAAAGCTTGTCTTAAGATAACGGCGCTTCTATAAAACATACAGCATGGGGTTTGGCAATTTACAACCAGCTAACAAAATTGTATGATTGTACATAGATATATCTTTTTCATCCCTTAGAATAAGAAATGTTTTGATGACATCATGAAGTATTTCACCAATTGAAAGCACAGTTAGGCAACTTAAGAAAATATTATCATGACCGTTTCACTTCCGGTTCTATCGCATGTCGATAGCAACTTCTTATTTTAAATAGAACACCCTGTATTTTATTGCAGTTTCGAAATCTACATGAAAATCTACGCAGTTTGGTACCAATTTCCCTACACCAAGCATCAAAGGTTTCAAGATATTCAAAATTTTTGGTGCTTGATAGCTATTCTTTTGAGCTGTATTTATGAATCCGTTGACTTGAATTTCAAAAAGTATTCCAAAATCGACGGTAAGTACTCACTTGATGCTGCGTGACGATGATTTAAATTTTGATCGCCCTTCTACAGGGTGTTTCAAAACTAATAGTCAACTTTGTAACTTCAAATCTTAAAAAGTTGATTTTTTCAAACGAAACAAGCTTCATTTTTTTGCAGTTTCAAATGTTAAAAAATTCTACATCGATGTAAAATTATATTCCCTATAACCATCTGTTATGCTTCCCGTTTTATTATAGATTTTCTAAAATTGTGACCGTTAGGCGTTATGCATAATTTTCTTAGGAGGCCTTGAAATAAATGCGTTAGTAGATGTTATTTTACCAGCATTTGAGAATTTACATGAAGAAAACAACTGGTTTCAACATCACGGAGCGCCGGCTCATTCTATCCATGATGGTGATATGTCTTTGACGAACACTGCATGAGTTTATTCTTTTAACAACATATGAAAATGACCGAATGCGGTTTTTTACTGACATGCTTGAATAAAAAATTATCATATATAATACCATGAGTAGTCGAAGTATTGTCGAATATTTTTGAGGCGCTGTCACGAATGCTAGTTACGCTTATTAATACCACGAGCGCCTGCGCGAAGATCAGGCAAAACTCCAAAGGGCTTTTTCCAAAAAAACGAGAAAACTTCGGGAAAGTCGGAGCGAAGTGGGCGATAAAAAAGTTCCAAACATTTAAATCTCCGGAACCAAATGGACCTCTCTTGGAGCCTTTGGAAGGAGAGAATTCAATGGGCATTTAGGTATATCAAAACCTGGACACTAGTGTCACGAGTCACGACCAGGCAACATTGTTTAAGCTTGACTTCAATGCTTCTAAAAGTAATCGAAAGGCATATTAGATATATTGCCGAGATGCATCTAAGCATGAATACCCCGCCAAGCGAAAAAATATAACTCATGCTCAACTGCAACAAATTTAACCAATGTGCACATTCCCACATTTCAATTTGCTTCAGTAAATGAAAGGATCCAAGAGGTTGTTAAATTTCGACGTAAGCATATTATAATATCTAGCATAAAACCGTGGACTTTAGATAATTTTACAATTTTAGAATAAATCACATTGACGTATGTATTTAGTCCAGAGATATAACAACCCCAAATTTCCAAAATGTGAGTGGTCTCTTTTGTATAAAAATTACTTATTCAATTAAGTACTTACACTTTTAAATTAAAACTTTAAACAGTTGTTACCAGCCACCAGGGCATTCGCGGTGTTGGAATCACATCTTTATTTTTTAATTTAAAAATTTACATACCTGTACGTTTCGTGTCGCGCCACGATATTTGCAATTTATTACACTTCAAGCATATTAAACGTACCCAAAAAATGCAAATACCAAATTCCATACGCGTTTGCATATGATCTGCTTTATTAATAACGTGAAAGTGATTTTGAAGCGAATTTGTGTCGAAACATTTAATAAATCTTTTTAACTTTACTCCTTTTCCATGTACCAGACGATTGATTTTATATAAATGTATTTGTGGGGATTGATTGATTGCACTACACCAACAGATTTAAGTCGATTGTCACTGATTTCATTATCTAGTTCATTATTGAGTGGTTTAAACTTTACTTCGATACTTTGTTGCATAAGTAATCGTTGTCTCTCGCAAACGGAATGTACAATTTTGCTCAAAGGATATTTGATGAAAAAACGAAGCGATTCAAGCGGAATCTAATTCTGTCAAAGTTTCTATGCTTTTACAATCCCCTACGAAATGAAGCATACCGTTACGTATGCAATAAAACTGATTTCAAATTCTTTAGTGACTATCTAATATGTGTATATCTAAGGTTTCAAAGTTGTATGGAATGTTTAGCGCATTTTTTAAGAATTAAAAAAAATGTACTATTGATGTTCAAATTTTGTTGTCTTAAGGGGGTGTCCCCACGGATTATTATTACAACAACCAATTGGGCTCAAAATGAGGGGTGAGAGGTGGATTGGTTTTATCCTTTATGGTACTCCAATAAATGGTCTCATAAACGGAATTAATTTCTAGCAACCATAGTTCTTCTCCTGGACCTCTTAGCATGATCGGTTATAATTCCATATCTCTCCAGAGCGTATTGTCGTATAGATTAATCGCAAAGAAAGATGAAATATATCCATTGGTGATGTCAAAATATCTCGAAAACAGTTTTTCGAAGGAGAATACTCACAAATGCAAAATGAATCGTCTGGACGAGACATATTTTTTGGTGGAGGTGGAGTCGAAGCGAATATCTTGAAAACGAAGCGTCGGAAGAGGCTCCTCATAAAGGACAAGTGGAACGGCTGGACGAGACACATATACTGGTAATGTTAAAAGTTTAAGTGCAAATATCTGCAGAACTGTGTCGGGGGAGGGTACTCTTCAAGGATAGAAAGCTGATCTAAACGAGAAACGTCTCCAGGCGATGTGAAAACTGAATTGTGAATATCTCGAAAATGTTGGAGGAAAGTACCTACAAATGGAAAAACAATATTTAGGATTATTACGCATTATATGGCATAGATTTTGAGTGTATTCCAACGATCTTTAAACGTTTGTGTCCCCCCTCTATATTCATCATATAGCAAGAAGGTAAACATCGATGCTACTACCTTATACTCCAACTATTTGCTAAGCTATTTAGGTTTAAAAAATGCGCTTTATCTGCACAATATTTGTGCACAATTATACTTGTTTAGGTTCAGTACATACGAAGTGATTGAACTTGCTGCATTCACATTTTGCGGAATTTCATAGGTCGCTGCGTTGACACAGTAAGACTTTTGTACGCTTTGTTGAGTACAAATAAATAGTTGTGATCTCAATAATAATAATTCGGAGTACTTTTTTATAGTTTTTTTCAAAATTAAGTTTTTGAAAGACCAATAACACATTTAACACGAAAATTATAATTTTTACAAAAAAAAGTAGATAGCATAAATTTTTCATATTCTTTATTAAAGAATATGAAAAGTTGTTTCCATGGATGAATAGGAAGTTACTTACGAATAAACTCTTAAATGCATCGATAATGCTGGCATATATGAAGGAAATGTCAAAGGTATTTAAATCTTCTATATTTTGGTGCATTCATTCAAAACTATAAAGCAGTGCTGCGATTAAAAAGTGGAACAGATTTGGAAGCATACCCTAAATTACGCGCGTTTATTAAAGCTTCAACCAAAGGATAGGTACAAAAGCCAAAGAAATCTTCACAGAAAGCGACCTAAGAGGATTTTTTATCTCATCCAGATGACAGTTTCAAAAGTCATACTTGAAGTATCGTTACTTAGCAACTTTAAAGCACGTGTGTTTTAAAGGCCCTTTTTCGCACGCATTTGAGTGTTTAAAACGGAGATTGTGATTCAGGTATAATAAAAAATTCATTTATACCTTTGAGCGAATAAAGTCTCGGGCACAACTATGT